ACCAGGGGGCAGACGTTCCAACCAGTAGGTTAGCTTGCTGCTGGGGTCTGGCTGATGAGGGACTGAGTGAGACAGCCTGTGCATGCCCTGGAGCCCTCCTGCAGTCCCTTCCGGGCTGGCCAACCTCCCACGTCCCTCCTCAGACTTGATCAAACAACAGTAGGGTTCTTCAGCCTGGCCTGCACCCTCCCACAATTCGGGACCCCTCGAAGGATGTCTGAGAGCCAGTTTCGGCCCAATCCCACGGACCAGGCTGAGGGACCCCATTGTTGCACGAATTCATGCACCAGGGCCTCTAGTCTATTAAAAAGAAACACAAGTAGTTCCTATTTTTTGTTTTGTCCGTTTACAGATGGCATTGCCACTGCTCCTTAATCCATAGTTTTCATCACTATCTTGTATAGCAGACTCTATTATGTTTTATACAGAATCATATTAAGACAACCCTTGAAGAACACAACTCATTTAGAAAAAAGCAACATCTAAAATAGCTGTACGTGAGATTCATAATGGATTGTTGGTGGATCTGGCAGATGCCTGTATCAGAGGTCCATAAATTACATGCCCAATCCAACCTACCTCCTGATTTTATGTATAAGGTTTTACTGGAACATGGCCCCACTCATTCACTTACATATTGTCTTTGGCTGCTTTCATCCTACAAGAGCAGAATTGAATCACTAAAACAGAGACCATGTGGTCCATAAAATATAAAATATTAACTAACACTTTACAAAGAAAAATTTGTCAACTCCTCCTGTACACAATGAGATAGCAGAGGAAACATAAGACTTTTCCCAGAGCCATCTCCAAAGTACATGAATTAGGCTGATGCTAGCCTAGGTGTGGGCTTTACAGTCAGTAATCTGGTGCTAAAACACACAATGCACACCCTAATGCTTTTTAATCTTCACATATCAATCCCAAAGCACAACACATGAAGTTATGACTCCCTACAACCAGAGTCCCACCTTTCCTTCTTTCTGTACTAGTAAATCATGTACAGCTGCCCTTTACGTTCATCAAAACATGATTTTACCTGCATTAAAAAATGTTGTGGAAAGTAGGGGTGAAGAGAGCAGGCATCCATGTGGCATACATTCCAGTCCTTGTACCCTCATCCTAGAATCACCCTAGATTTAAACTTCTTGTCTAAATATCTCTTCCCCAGAGAGTTTTGCCATTTCAATGATCACTCTTAAGAGGTCAAAGAAGCTACTAGGAAGGTGAAAAATTCAAACTCAGCAATGCAAAAGTGGTGATATATGTATTCCCTGCCTCACAATCCTTAATCCTTATTCTAATCAACACTAAAAGCTAGCCACACTAGCTGCAGGTTTCATCACAGGAAGAAAAAATAAAAGAACAGTCTTTCAGTTTCTCATACTTCAAAGATGCCTGGATTTTTTTAAGTGCTAAATTGTTTTGTGTTTCTTTTTTAATAAGCGGGTTTTCCAAAAAAGAATTTCAGCACTTCTGTGCCAGCACAGGGATATCCCCTCCATTGTACAGGACACAAAGACACACACCAACCTCAAGCAGGGGAAGCAGCCTTCTCTGCCAGCTATTTTTAGCCCTACTTCGTCAAGTTAGAGGCCAAATTTAGGATAATGATGCTGGGCAAACTTTAAAAACATGAATATGGTGAAAGAAATCTGTCCTTTTAGGTATAAGTTCCTTAACAGTGAAATCCTATATATTCTTTCAACTTAACCTCAGGGGACTTATATACTCTACAAGTTTGTCATAGCTATTTCAAAAATACAGAATCATAAGACTAAGTACTGGCCATACTTAAAGACTGTTTCTCTCTTTTCAACTTCAACTCTTACTCACTTTTAAAACATTTATTTTTAAGGAGAGTGCATCCATTCACTTTCCTACTATATCTTTGCTAACTTTAATGATTTTTCTCCCCTCCACCCAAGTAAAGATACCCATTTTTCATTCTCCATCTGCACTTTCAAGAAACCTTAATACTATGAAAATGACTCCCAGCTCTACATTTTCAGCACATCACTCATTATTTTGTTGTCTTCAGCTTGCATTAGTATCCAATATTTGTTTACCCTAAAATTTAAGGTCAAAAAAAAAAAAAATACAATGCCTCATTTCTGAATTATGTTTTACAAGAAAATCGCTCATGAGCACCATACTAAAGTACTAGAAGAGCCCTCTTTTTCACTCCTCCATCTGTATATAATAGCTCTTCAGTGACCATCCTCAAACTTTTTAAAGTGGGGGCCAGATCACGGTCCCTCAGAGAGCTGGAGGGCCGGACTATATGAACTACTAATTCCTACTGTAACACCTCGGCTGCGCTCACTGCCCAAAAAACCTGGCGGGCCGGATCAGACTCCTCTGCGGGCCGCATGTGGCCTGCGGGCCGTAGTTTGAAGACGCCTGGACCATAGTGTAAAAATGTTGATTCCCTAGAAAAAGACAAAATGCTTCTTGACCTAAAATACAGTTTCTCCTCATCTAAAACTGTCTCAGGAACATTGTTCTCAATTGCTTCTTTGATCCGTAAACACGTATTGATCCTAAGCCTATTCAACCCAGATTGATCCTAAGCCTATTCAACAACTTACCTCTGTATTCCTATCAATCTAAATTTCTAATTACATTTGTCCCTCACACCCTCCAATTCCAAAAGTCTGAAAACTTTTCTTCCCAAAAAAATACTTTCACAGATTTGGTTCGGACATTCCAATTAGTCCTCCATAGTTCAACACTATCATTTTCCTAATGAAATATGTACAAATACATTTATATCTATGAGGTAGGTACCAAACACAGTAACTGACATATGGTGGTAGTAGATAAATAGTGGTCCATTCTCACTTTCCTACAGTTTTGTGCAATTTGTGATTTATTGCCTTTGCCTTCTATAATAAAAGCATCTCAAAGATAGGGATCTCAAATACTTTGTTTCTTTGATACCCAAATATGCCATAAAACATTACCATAGTCAAGCAATAAAAAGTCTTAAGGTAAGTAAATAACTTTGATGGAGTATAATCTATAAACTATAGTTTGTTGGTTTGTCCTCTTTTCCTCCCTATGAAAGATTATGCTTTTCTTCTTTCTGTAAAACATGGGATATGTGAATTCCTCAAGGTCACAAAATAAGATAACAGAACCAGAGACATTTGTTTCTGATTTTATATCTAACATTATATCCACTACTCATGTCAGTACTCATTTAAAATCGAATGAGCCCAAGCCAGTTTGGCTCAGTGGATAGAGTAGACCGAAGGGTCCAGGGTTAGATTCTGGTCAAGGTTATGGACCTCAGTTGCAGGTTCCTCCTTGGCCCAGGCCCTGGTTGGAACTGGTGCAGGAGGCAACCAATCAATGTGTTTCTCTCACATCGATATTTCTCTCTGTCTTTCCCTCTCTTTCATTCTCCCTAAAAATCAATGGAAAAATATCCTCAGGTAAGGATTAAAAAAATAAAATAATAAAAGTAAAATAGATAGAATTTAAGATTTCTCATAAAAAATAACAAGAACAAGGCATATAAAGAAAAACAAAACAGGCGGAAAAGTTCCAGAGGAGAGCAAAATAATCAAAGGAATTGAAGAAATTAGTCTAAGATATACAAAGAGGCAGGAAAGATAATGGTAAAGAAAAATAATCAAAATCTGTAAAACCAGAAAAAGAAAACTCCAGCTTATTATAGCATTTCTCAAAACACAAACTCTGCATGTGTCCTGGGACATTAAAGAAAAAGGTTTGGGATAAATGAATGAATTGTTGCATAATTCAGGAGTTAAACTTGTAGAACTCATTATTTCAAAAGACAAAAAGTATAGAATGGAAACATTGTTTGAGAAAGTATCAAATTTAATCAAGATCCTGAATGGAGAAGTTACCATAGCTAACCTCAGACTTACATTCATTCCCACAAAGCTTCTCTCAGCAGGAGCTTCAGAGGGAGCAAGACCACACAGTTGTCTGCAGGGACCATAAATAGGTATAGTACTCCCTATGTTGTTACATAAAATCCTATCCCATGCTGAAGCCTTCAGGTCTGTATAAACTACTTTCCTGCACCTTAGTTTGGAACTCTGGGAAGATTCTTAAAATACAGGTCAAAGATTTTATAGACTTCACCTCTAAAATAGTGGAAGGGGGGGGGGAAATCCTTCAAAATATTAAATATCAAATTTTCTCATTAGATGGAAAAATAAAGAAACTCAAATAAGCAAAGTCTCAAGTCACTCAGCCAAATAAAAGAGTGCTGACAGGTAGGGCATATGCTACTCGCCTCCCAAAAAAAGCATTTGAGAAAGGAATAAAAACTTTTAAAAACTGGCTCAAGTACCGAACACTCTCCCCCAATTAACTTGTGATTCATAACAACTCACAATTTCCCTGAGTAACCGAAATCTGTTACAGTGTCCTCCTGATACACAGGAATTGGACCCAGGAAATGCTATAATAAGCTGGGAGGTAAAAACTCTTGTACCAATAGGTACTGAAATGAAAATCTCTTCAAGAAAGAGTGCAAAAAAAAAGGGGGGGGGGAGAGAAAGAGGGGTACTTTCCTTTCAGGGGTTCATGGGGTAAGAGATTGCCCCATGAGAACCCAAATAATAAGAGTTGCCTGGAAACAAAACCTACAGCGCAGGTTTTCACACCTGGTGTACCAGGAAAAGGTGTGTTACAGAGATGTCCTTTGTGTACACATACGCTAAGGCTTCCTCGATTTCCTCTTGTCAATTACTGGCCAGAAGGGAGCAAGTGTCTCCTCTGGAGAAAGACAGAACTCTTCTCTAGGAGAAGCCTGGAAGCTTCCGTATTGCACGGAAAGGAGCTAAAAGGTTAAATAGTGGGGCTACCTGATACCTCCTCCTGCCTGGTGGGATAAAGGTACCTCCTTCTCATCCATGCACTCCCAGCGCTCCAGGAAACCATCCGCAAAACCCAGGAGGTTGCACCGGCATGTGCCCACTTCCCAGCCCTCCTCAATCCCTTTCCCGGAGGCCACTCACACTTTGGAGAAGGACCGTGCGCTGAGCAAGTGGGCCGGCTCCCTTCCTCCTCGGGACCGAGGCTGAGGCTGCGGCTGCGGAAGGCGCCGACCCGCGCGTCGCGGAGAAGCGGGGGGGCTCGTGTCGCTCAGCCCGGCGACCACCCGGGTCCCTTCCGCGCAGCGGGCGGGAGCAGAGGCGGCTTCGGCCCCACGTATCTTTTCCTCTTCCTGGGTCTCTTCAGGCTGCCTGCTGCCTGCCGGTCCTCGGCCACTTCTCCCGGGACAGTCACGTTCGGGAGGCTCCTCCGGGTGGTGTGCGCGTTTAGAAAGTTTCCTCTGGGCGGAGAGCGGCCGGCCCCCCGGGTCCCCCCGGCCCCGCCGCCCTCGGGGCTGGGGCGGGGGAGGGGGCTCTAAGAACTCCTCCCGGAGTCCTGCCGCGGAGCCGGGGGGCCGGCGACTGGCCCGGGGAGAAGACCCCCGAGGGGGTGAAGGGCAGGTGGAAGGGAAAGGAAGAAGGACTGCAGCGCCGGTCCTGCTCTCCCCGCCGCCCCGGCCGCCGCTTCACATCGGGGTCCCCGCCCCCCGGCCGGGGGTGATTGCTGAACCTGGGGCCCCGGATCATACACGCCGGGGCGAGATGCTAAGGCCCCGCGCGGGTGGCCGCGGCGGCCGCGAGGTGGGGGACCCGGCCGGCTCCGCTCGGCGCCGCCCCCGCTCCCGGCTCCTGCATGTGTCGCAGCGGCTGGGACCCCCTTCCTATGCCTCGGGGGTCCCTCGCCCGCGCCCCAGGTCCAGACAGAAGCTCCGATCCCTCCTCGGCGTCCTCTCACCGGGAAGCTGCTGCCCGGCCCCGGCCCGAGGTAGCCTCCTCCCCGCCTCCCGGCCGCCGGCTCCGGATCCGGATCGGGCTCGGGCTCGGGCTCGGGCTCGGGCTCGGGCTCGGGCTCCGGCGTGTGCAGCCGCGGCTGCCGGCCGGGAAGGTGAGGGGGGAGCGGAGCAGTGGCCGCGGCTCCCGCTGGCCCAGGTGAGGGCAGAGGTCGCGGCGGCAGCCAGCGCACGGGGGCGGGGTCTCCGATGCTCGCAGGTCTCAAGCTCCCGGCGGCGGCGGCGGCTGCGGCGGCGGTGGCAGCGGCGTCCGGAGCCCGGCTCGCAGTCTCGCTCGCTCTGTGCGGGGCTCTCTCGCCTCACTCCAGAGAGAGGGGCGGGAGGGGAGCGGGCGCGCGCCGATGACGTCAGTCGCCTAGCAACCGCGCCCCGCCCCTCCCTTCGCTCCCCGCGAGAGGCGTCCTTCGCGAGCCTGGGCTCCCCTTCCCAGCCGCTCCGCCCCGCCCCGGCGGCGACGCGGGCGCGCTCCGATGACGGTCGGAAGGAAGAGGAAGTCGGGGCTGGCGAGCGGGTGGGTGCGCCTCGGGCCGCTGGGCTCGTCGCCGCCGCCGCAGCCGCCGCCGCCGCCTCTGCGGTCGCGTCAGAACTGAAGAGAGGAAGGGGAGGAGCCGAGAGGAGCCGGAGCGGCCGCCGGATCTCACCCCGGCCCAAGGGCGGCGGGCGGAGAGGGCTTGCGCTTTAGCGGTTTCCTTCAGGGCAGGTGGCGGCTGCTCCTTTGGGAGCCGGGAGGAGGGCGGCCCCGGCCGCGCGGCCACGCTCGGGTGCGCACCCCCTGAAGGTGAGGCCGTGGGGGCCCCCAACAGGCCTTTGAGAAGCTGTACTGACTGAGCGAGAAGTTGTCCCGCTGCCTGGTCCGCGCGCTGCACCTGCTCCCGGGAGCGAGCGCCCCACCCTTTCCGCGGTGCAGGGCGCGACCCAGCGCCGGGGAACGTGGAGTCGGACCGTGTAGATGTTTAGTGAATGAATGAAAGGAAGGAGTGAACGAACACTCGCGGAGCTCAGAGGAGTGGATGAGTGCTAGCGCTTTGTCCCAATGATCCCATAAGGCAGGGACGTATGCACAGGTGACCTAGGGTGCCTCAGCCAGTAATCTGACACGTACGATCCAACGTACTTAATTAATAATCCACGGAGCATAAATTACACAGGAGACAAATATGCAGTGCATGAATCACACACGGTTTATTTACCGGAGTCCTGGTGGGTTCCAGACCTCGGCAGGCCACCCGGGGATCCGTACTGACAGACACACACGGTTCACAGAGGACAGAGGACGTTGCAGCTGCAGCTTGGCTTCAGTTGAGGCCCCTCGTGTTGGCTCAGCGGCTCCGGCAGAGCTTGACAGGTGCAGGTAGGGAAAGTGGAGAGCGACCTTCTGTGGAGGAGCAGAAAGAGCATCTCTGACCTCCTCTGGGGCTTGCTCCTTTTATGTGCTCAGATGTGTCTTCAGTGCTCAGATGGGCGTCTTCAGTGTGTCTTATCAGCAGGTCCCAGGAGCCTTGCTATCTGGTCTTACATATGGGGTACAGATCACTTTATCTATTTTCTACATACAGGCCACTCAAGGATGCTTATCAATTTGGTTACATTCCATACCATACTTTCAGATAGCACACTTCAATTCCACACTTTAATACTTAGTCTATATTGTATTTTATCCCTATTACTATTACTATAACACGCTTTGTTAACTGCATAGCATTGTAAAGATGAGAGGTGTAATCCATCCTTTCTGCACCCTCCAAACCCCCCCCTTCCCTCACCCCAAAGGAAATGAGGGTGCGGCTAGAGTACCGAGTCATAGCCTGAGTCTTTCTAGAAAAAAGGAGGCGCCTTGCCAGGGCGAGAGAAAGGAGTCATCCTCATGGATATTGTGGAAGGAATTGTGACCGTTTTCCGTGGGGGGAAATTGAATAGCGCCTCACTCCTAGAAATCACTCGTGCTTGTGATTTGAAGCTCGGGAGAACTGCCCTTGGTTGTGAATCGGTATACATAACCGTCACCTGGAAATTGTGGCCTGCATTTCAAAGGCTATTTACTCTCTAACGTAAATACTATTAACTGTTGTGCAGCTTTTCATACCGATGTTATCCTGGAAAGTAAATTCAAGTAAAAAAAAAAAAAAAAAAAAAAAAACATGAAGTTTAAAGGGTAGTTCTCTAGGGGGAAAAAAAAAAAAATTATGTGAAAAGACCAGAATCCTCAGGTGAACCTGTCCTGGTGAATAGTGTGAGAATGAGATAAAAGCAGCAGCAATGATGAAAGGAAGCAGATTCCACAGTTCTGTCGTTGGTCCCAGGCAGCCCTACTTCCTCTGGAACTTCCTCTGGAAGGAGCAATACTGGATATTTCAAGTCTTTCTGCCTCAGGGGGATGAGGAGCAAGTTTTTATAGGCAGGCTGGTGGAGCTTGGGGTTTCTGCAGCTACCGCTGCCTCCATAGGGAAATAGTAGACCAAGGAAACGTATAACTGGATAAATCCCAAGACTCATTGTTATTAAAATCCTCCAGAAAAAGTAATGGGACTGGGGAGAGGGTGTTGCAGAAGCAAGAGGAGACAAAGTAGCAGCTGCCCAACTGCTTTTGAGCCTAAATTCCAAGAGCCAGGTGAACTGTCCTGCTTAAGCTACCCTGAATTTGACTGTCTTTTCATAACCTGCCTTGTTTATGTTCTTCCAAATAAGACCCACAGAGAATCAGACCATCAAGTGATGGCCCCATATGGCTACAAGACTAATATTTTATGGTTTTGCCTATCTTCCAAATTTCCTGATGGAAATTGAAGGAACAAAATGCACAGATTTAGGGGGTTTTGTGAAGCTGAGCACCTCACATTTTAGTACTGAGAGGTTTTTATAGTATTTTTCCCCCATTGGTTTTAGAGAGAAGAGAGAAAGAAGCATTGATTGGTCGCCTCCCATACATGCCCTGACCCTGGATCCAACACCTAGGTAGGTGCCCTGACCAGAATAGAACCTGCCACCTTCCAGTGTACTGGACAGTGCTCCAACCAACTGAGCCACATCAGCTAGGGCAGTTTCATGGGTTTTGAATAAAAAGAGTGCAACCTAGTAAAGTATACCTTAAGGAAAGTGTGTACCAGATGGACTTTTTCAGCAACCTGATCTTAGAACCTTAGTGCTGAAGACAGAACGGCACCCCGGGGAGCCGTCCGCCACCCACCACTTACAACCTACAGAAAAAGAACCAGCTACACTAAACCTCACCACCCAGCGTGATAACCAGAGGAAACAGCTGGAACTGGTGACTGGAAAAGAGGAAGTTTATACATATCCAACTTGGTCTGCAACTTTTTAGTTCTTTATTTTTTATTAATTAATCCAGAGGAGAACACAGCTAGTTTTCAAAATTCAAAAAACTGGAGTTTTAGGTAACAGTTTTCTTTCCTGGTTCATCAATTTGTTTCTGATAGAGATCTGCTTTCTTTGTTAAAATATGAGAAAGGGATATTTTTCTCCTACACTAGAAAGCTCTTATGAGGAATTAATCAGTGTTTTATTAGCCCACATCATTGATTTTTACTATTAAAGATTTTTTAATTATCTGGCAAAATTTCTTTCTACAAATACTACTTATACAATAGTATTCAGTTACTTTTATAAATTTTATTGTGAAATATACATTAAGATCCATAAAGCAGTTACTCAGTATAATGAGTAATTATAAAATAAACCTTCATGTGATCAAACAGATCAAGAAATGGAACATTGCCAGCACCCCAGAATCCCCCTGTTGACCTTCCTGAACACAACTCATCCCCTCTTTTTTAGTGATAAGTGATACTTATCCTCTGTGATAAGTATTTCCTTGTTTTTCTCTCTTGTTTTACATGCATCCCTAAACAGTATATCGTTTGGTTTTGTCCTTTCTTTTGAACTTTACTAAATGGAAAAACCTAATATGTAATCTATATCACTGGTACTTACCACTTTAGCTCAACATTGTTTTTAATCCATATGTTGTTCAGGTTGTTCATATAGCTTTAATTTGTTCATTTTAATTGCTGAATATTACATGCCATGATTTATTTAGCCATTCTATTGTTGATGGATATCCTGGTTGTTTCTAGTTTGGAACTGTTATAAATGCTGCTGTGAACATTCTTCATATGTATTCTATCATGTCTATATCAGTTTCTGTGTAGTATATACCTGGAAGTGGATATGCATATCATAAACTTGAATAAATAGCAGACTTAAGGAGCTATCCTTTTTTGTTACACTGTTTTTATAGAAACACAATTTCTGAGTTCAAATCTGAATGATAAAAGAACTTTTAGGGATTGTCTCTTATGTGAAAGAAGTACCACACATTAGAATATCAGCACCCTCCAGGCTTTTAATGCTTCCTTTTCAACAAATAGGCAAGATATCCTCAGGTTCTCCAGCCTTTCATTCCAGGGTTGACATTTCTTTTAAACCTATATAATAAAAGCCTAATATGCAAATTGACTGAACAGCAGAACAACCGGTCACTATGATGCACACTGACCTCCAGGGGGCAGACACTCAATGCAGGAGCTACCCCCAGCCCACAGACCCCAGGCCATCCAAGTTGGGTCCCAGTGGGGGCCCCCAATCGCCCTGCCAGTTGCCCCACAGATCAGTCCTGATCGCCAGCCAGGCCTAGGGACCCTATCCATGCATGAATTTCATGCATTGGGCCTCTAGTAACCAAATAAAGTGTCATGACTTACCACCTAATATGTTATGAAAAGTTCAAAGCCAGCTCTCTCCACTGTTGCTAGCATCCTCAAAGAATTTTAATACTTTGCCCCACACTGGACACTATTATTTCCATTTCATTAACATAAAACTGTCCTATGTAGTGGACTTTTAGGTTGAGAGGTAACAAATTGTTATAAGAACCAACTTACATCAGAGGAAACAACTTTAAATTCAATGTCAGATATTACTTTTTCTAAAACTGTTGCCCATTGCAACCTTGGGGAATTTCTCACTGATAATGTCTTTTTATCATTATTGATTTTTTTAGAGAGGAAGGAAGGAAAGAAAAGAGGGAAACATTGATGGGCTGCCTTGCCCCTAGGTGGGATCGAGCCTGAAACCCGGCATGTGCTCTGACCAGGAATCAAACCAGCAACATTTTGGTGCATGGGACAATGCCCAGTCAACTGAGACACACTAGCCAGAACTCACTGATTATGTCTTAAGTCTCTTCCTATCGCCCTGTATTTGCTTCTCAATCCCAACAGTCTCCTTAAGTGCAAGATTCCTTTTACTTTATTGCATAAATCAACTATTGGTTCTCAATCTTTTACTAGAAAGCTCTTCATTCTGGCCAGGGTGATTCAGTGGTTGAGTGTTAACCCATGTACCAAGAGGTCCCTGGTTCCATTTCTGGTCAGGGCACAAGCCTGGCTTGCAGTCTTGATCCCCAGTAGGCGGCATGCAGGAAGCAGCTGATCAATGTTCCTCTCTCATAAATGTTTCTAACTATCCCTCCCCATCTCTCTAAAAAAATCTAAAAGCCTAAGTGACTTTTGACCAGTTGCTATGACATGCACTGACCACTGGGGGCAGGTGCTCAATGCAGGAGCTGCCCTCTGGTGGTCATTGCGTTCCCATGGCCGGCCAACCTCCTGTGGTCCCTTCCCCAGTCAGCAAGCCCCAATCAGTCCCAATCAAGACTGGACAAGATGGCCCCAATCAGCCCTGGTCACTGGCCAGGCCTAGGAACTCAGCCTGTGCACAAATTTGTTCACAGGGCCTCTAGTATATTAATTTAAAAAATTTGTTGTTAACAATGTGTACAGATGCAAATAACATACTCCAAGTGGCATAAACAATGTTTCTCTTAATAAAGAACATGCTAGTAGAGAGCCCAAGATTGGCACAGGCACAGAAGCTCAATAATGCCATCAAGGGATCCAGGCTATTTTTCTTCCCTTGCATCCTTATTGCTATTCATGTCATTGCAACTTGCATCACCAAACCTGTGTCACAAAGAGGCTGCTGCTGTTCCTTAGGAGTCACATCCACATTGCAGACTAGAAGGAGGAGGAAAGGGTGGTGCCTATACGAGGAAATGTGCTTTCTTTTCCCAATGTTTCCAGCACACTTCTGTTTAGGTCTTATTGATAGAGTGGTACCTTGGGGACAAGATCTAAAGAAGGCTGAGGAGTATTTTAGCTGGGCATTGTTGCTCAAAGCAAGGTTAGAATTCTGTTTATAAGGATGGTTGGGGGAAATAGATAAGTAGTAGGACATTAACAGTATCTGACACATTTTGTCTTTCTTGTGACTGCTATAAGAAAATACCATAGACTAGGTCGCTTACAAACAACAGAATTAATTTTCCACAACTCTAGAGGCTGGAAGTTTGAGCTCAGGATGCCAGCATGGTCCAATTCTGATTAGTGCCCCGTTCTGAGTCAGACTGTCAACTTTTCATTGTATCATCGCGTGATGGAGAGCAAAAAATAGCAACCTCCTAACTCATAAGGGCGCTAATCCCACTTGTGAGAGCTCTGCCTTCATGGTATCATCAATCCTAATCACCTCCCAAAGGCCTCAGCTCTTAGTACATCACATGGCAGGGGGTAAGGGATGGAGAATTTTCAACATGTGAACACTCCATAACGCCCTTAAAGGTGTTTTTCTTAAAATGACCCTCTAACCCAGAGATGAAATGTCACTGTCTAAATCCCAGAAATATCTACCTTAAGTATTTGTTTAAAATAGCAATTTTCCCCATTGTTTTGCATACAAATATCAGTCGTATATAGAAGCTTCTTTTTGCTTCTTATAGTTTAAAAGTTTTAGCAACTTAATTTCAGTAACATTTTTAAAATAAATAAATTTGTGATCTTCCAGATGATCGCTTACATTATCACTGCAAAACACATCTTATTAGTGGCATCTTAGGCCCATGTGTAAGAATGATTGAATATTCATTTTCCTTTTAAAACAAAAATAAGTATTGTTTTTATTTATTTTTAAAACAATCTGAAACTTATAGAAAACTTATAAGGACAGTATAAAGAATTTTTTTTCTCTTGAACTATTTGGGAGTAAGTTGCCAACTTGATGACCCATCACCCCCAAATACTAAAGGGTGTGTGTGTGTAGGACATTCTCCCACACAATTGCAATATAACCATCAAAATCAAGAAATTAATATTGATAAGCACTACTACCTAGTCCTGAGGCCCCCATTACATTTCATCAATTGCCACAGTAATATATTCATAGCAAAATAAAGGATACATTTAAGAATGTGTGTGGCACTGAATTGTCACATATCTTTGACTCTGAAATGCTTCCTCAATCTTTAACTTTTATGATCTTGATACTTTTGAAGATTACAACTAATTATTTTGTGGAATATCACTCAATTTGGGTGTGTTTGTGATTAGCAGGAATATCACCAAAGTGAGGCTGTGTTCCTAGAATTTCATCAGGTGATACTCAGTTTCAGTTGGTCCTATTACTGATGATGTCTACGTCAATCACTTGGTTAAATGGTGTCTACCAGGCTTCTCCACAATGAAGTAGATCAAAAATGAAGTTACATTTTTTTTCTATTTTGAATTAATAAGTATTAACTTTTTGAGGAGATACCTTAAATCTAAATAAATCTAACTTTAAATCTAAATAAATACTCTTTCTAATCAAACTTTAATCTCTCTCTCTCTCTACCTCTCTCTCTCTGTCTCTCTGTCTCTCCCTCTCTCTCTCTCTCTCTCAGAATGTATGTGTCAGTATAAGCTCATGGGTTTCTATTTTTGTTCAATGGGTTATAACCCGTTTGGGGTAGGGGGATGATCATGGGGTTAGCTGGAGGGAGGGACTATGGGCCAATCAGGGTGGGGCAGCCCGATCAGGGGGTGGGGCAAGCTAGGGGGAAGGACTACGGGTGGGAGAAGCCAATCAGGGTTGGGGCCGGCCAGGGGGAGGGGCCGAGAGATGTTGGCCGCCAGTCCCGCCCCTCAATTGGGCCTGTTCTCTGGCCACACTGGGCTTCATAGTGACCTGTTGTTACAGTCATTACAGCGTTACAGTCATTACAGCGTTACAGTCACTGGCTTTTTATACCTACATATAGATTAGGGCATTGCAGCAAATAACTAAGTTGAATGAAGTCAAATGAGAAAGACGGAAAATTTCTAAAAGGGAAAGAAGTGGAAAGTGTGGGCAAAGTTATTGAATAGTAACTTTTATTTCATAAGCATCTGCTATGTGCCAGGCACTACAATAAGATTTATGCAAACAATCTCATTTAATAATTACTACTACCCTGCTGGATCAATATTATCAAAATCATTTTACTAGTGAGAAATTCATCACTCACAGACTCAGTAACTTCCTAGAGTTGTATAGCCAATAAGTGGCTTGAATTTGGAGCTATCTGATGCCAACACCTAGTATCCATCCTCCTTCCAATACTCTCCACTGAGAGTCACAACCAGCAGGAATTATAGCTAGGCCTTATTTCTTTCTCTTTTTTCTAATATTCACAGAAGGTATGTTTATTGATTTTAGAGAGAAAGGAGAGAGAGACAGACGGACAGACAGAGAGACAGAGTGAGGGAAAGAGAGACAGAGACAGAAACATCTATGTGAGAGAAACATTGATCAGTTGTCTCAACATGCCCTTGTTGGGTACAGAACCTATGCATGCATCCAGGCAGGAATCAAGCCCACAGTGGTTAGATGGTAAGGACGACACACATTCCAACCAAGCCATGCATTTCTTTATGTTATTTTTTAAAATATTAAATATATTGAAAAAGTATAATTTATGTGTATAGAAATTAACAATAAAAAGAACATCATTGTATTCACCACCTGGCTTTGGAAAGATAATATGTATTATCAGTATCTTAAAAGTCCTCTTATGCATCTCTCTCAAACCCTGTTCTCTCCTCTCTCCTTCCCAAAACTATTATTCTAGTTTATTATTTACTAACCTATCACACACACACACACACACACACACACACACTTACACTTTCGTTTTGCATGCTTAAAAATCAAAATAAATGATGTGTTCTTCTGGGACTAATTTTCCCCCATCAACAATAGGTCCCTAAGATTTATTCAAGTTGATGTCAGTGGCCATAATTGCACCTCATTGCCTCAGACGATCTAGTGCTGCCAGTCTGACCTCTAGTCTGGGGCATCTCTTACTATCAGTCTTGCTATAGAAGACATGCAGTTCTGAGCTTCT